TGTTTCAAATAACAAAAATAAAATAATTTATCACAGGGGAACAAGTCTACATTCAACTGTAAAGAACATCATAAAACTTTTTTTCCTTCTCAGAAAAAGTCTGACAGAACTATTTACTAATAAACAGAACTTAATATAATTTGAAAATTCTGGAAAATAACTCACATAAAAATTCTTGGTTGCTGTTATAAATACATAAAATAAAACTTTCAAAGTGATAAGACATATACAATACTGCTTGGACATTTTTGTTCTGTAAGCATTTCCCTACAACATCTATCTTGATAATATGAATTTCAAGTTCACAACATATCTGTACTGGCTCTGTATGTCATTTTGACTATCCAAAAATCAGAGAAAAGGGGCAACAAAATACAGCAAAGGTAAAAGTTATCAGTTCCCCCAAAATTGAAATTTCAGTCATACAATATAAAACTTTTGAAAATCATACAAACCCACTTGGAGAATACCCATACACACCTAAAGTATGTATCTATGTATATTTTATACATATATATTTAATGTATATATACATGAATAGATGCATCAGACTCACACACACATGCAAAACACAAATACACACATATTAAGCCAGTGCCACTGGGGATAGCATGTACATACATGTCAGAGTGAAATTAGTTTACTAATTGTATTTACACATAGATACTCCTCAAGTGCTTATCCACCAATGAGTTAATCACTAGTCTGGCCTATCTCATCTGTTGACCATTTTCCTTGATTTTCAGAGATATTTTATTTAATATTGCTATTAGTATTGTTAATGACACTGTAATAATCATATTGCCAATAATAATATTAACAACAGAATCACAGTTAACCAAATGCTATGACTTTCCTCCAACAAGCCATAGATCAGTGATTGGAGCTGTTTGACTGTGCATGATGCATATCCTTGCCAACCAGGAAGGCAATAATGATAAATAAAATTAATACTAAATAAAATTTCCCTGAAAATTCAAGGAAGGAGAAAATCAGGTGAGGTGACATAGACCACAAACTGAATCACTGTTGGGTGATCACTTGTGGAGCTATCTATGTGTAGATATATTTCACAAAACAGTACTACAGTGAACATCAGATCTTCCCAGCAGAATTGGGTTAAGGGGAAAAATACATATATCAGGGAAAATTATAACAAGTATGAAAACCTTATTCAGATTTTGAAATACAGTTCATATCATTGTGTTTTTTCTCCATGTGGAGCCTAAGTGATACATTTCTTGTGCATTTGTAATTGCACAACGAACATGAAAATCGGTATTCACCTGTGTGTTTGGATATGTGGTCTGTAAGGCTTCTTTTTCGATCGCATCTATAAGGGCAGTAGGGACATGAAAACCTCTTTTTGATTTTATGTGTCTTGAGATGGCGATTGTATTGTCTGGTCTTGGTGGGTAAGAAGATTTTATTGCAATACTTACAAATTAACCTATTGCAACCATTGGTGCTGTGTTTCTTAAGTTCTAGGTAGTCAATAAAAATTTCATCACATGCAGGACACCTGAAAGAACTTGAAGAAGTTTCTCCAACAGATGTGTCATCCTCCTTAGTATGAGTCTGGGATGCTGGTGCAGGCTGTTCGTCTTTCAATAAAACCATTTCCTCTGTCTTATGCATTGCATGATGTCTGGAGAGGCGCTGTTTGCAATGTGTAATATACCTACACACTGTGCAAGAGTACACACTGCGCAGTCGTAAGTGTTTGTCTAGGGCTTCTGTGCTTGAGAACTGCTTTTCACAGATTACACAGAAGCTATCTAGAAACTCATGTGTCTTAAGATGTTCAACCAAATCTTTCCGTACTTTGAAGGTTTTCTTGCAGTGCTTGCAACACAAAAACCTTTTCGTTGTATTGCCAAGTTTGTGGTCTACATTCTCCTGGAAAATATAGACAATGGAAAACTTATAACAGCATTGTATTATTTCTATAGAGTAAACTCTGATTATAGTCAACCAATATTCATCCTCTGTGATGAAAAAAATCCCAGTACCTTTAACATCATAATTAAAACTGAAGCAATGTGGTACTACTAAATTGTATACAAAAAATACTTAATTTCATCCTTTCAAGTTTTCAGTTCTTATTCTCATTTCAATACTTGATCACAATTCCTAATGATGCTTATTTACAACTGTTCTAAACATATAATAATAACTACTGTAAATATTCATACGCTAACTATAATACAAAGAAGAGACTTTCCTAAATCTTTATCTAAACCACTGTGTTTCTAAGTGCTTGGTAAGTACATCACACATACTTCTACTTACCTTTTCTGGTTCGCTTGAACTACCTTCGTAACGCAAAACCATATCTTGAGAATTTTCTTCCGACTCAACACCAGTTTGAATCTTTACAAACTGTTCTAAACTCTTCCTCCTGTATGAAACAGACTCACTATCCCACCCTTCAAAGGTATTGCTCTCAAAGCTCTGTCGAGAAGGACAAGGGCTGTTTATGAAGCGTTCTGTGATGTTG